TGCAACAAGCAACAGGTGCAGCATGCCAGCAACTACTTTGAATTTTCAGAGTCCAACCATACTCCACAAGGCAATCTACCATCTCACATGTCAGTTATGAATTCTGTATCTTATGTTCCTGGACATTATATTTAACTTGAAGAGGACCAGAAAAAGAGAAAACAAGATGAAATGTTATGACAAAATGCTTACCAATACAGAAGAAAACGTACCTGAAAGGGGAGAATGTACAAATAAAAGATGGGACTAAGGAGTAAATGATATGTAGATGAGCAGAGAGAGAATAGGGTTTGTGCTCTAGTAATTCCTGCATTTAATTTATAAATATCAGAATTATAAATGGCTAACAGAAGTTGGTTCTATTGCTTAAATGCAGAAACAAAAGTGAAAGGTGATTTTTCTTTAAAGTAAAAAAATAAAATAGAACATTCTCATACCTGGTAGTGGAGAAGAGAGTTCCAGTCATCCTAGGGAAGAAGGTAAGCAAAGGAGATTCTGAAAGACAGGCTAAGAGATTTTCTGAAGCTAAAGAGGCAGCGAATGGCTCGAACAAGTCATGGATCAAATCAGTCTACCAGGCTAGTGTAAGACTAAACTTCATAGCTACAAGTCTCAAAGAGGGAATGGCTGTTTTATCTGTTCTTTAGACTCTACATGACTGAATGTAATAATAACTGCTCAAATTTAACAACCTGCCAATATATGGCTGAGTTAATGAAAACATAAAACAAAAATTATTAAACGCTTACCCTAGTATTGTCATTGAGTATACCATTGTTTGAGGTAACAAAAAAATGGAAACAACCCATTGTCCCTGAATAGATCTAAAAAAAAAAATCATGAACCGTTGAAAACATCCGAACAATAGCCAATACCACAGCTCTGTAAAACAAAACAACTGTGTTCTCAAGTGTAGAGATCTGTAAGATAAAGAGGGAGAAGGAGGGCTTCTAGCATTTGTGTAAAAAAAAAAATAGGGAACTAACTACATTTACATTTGCCAGTATTTGCATAAGAAATCCTGGAAAGATACACTCAAAAGAACAAAAGTGGATACCTAAGGGAGGAGAGCCTAGGAAGACAGCTGAGCAGATCTCTAGGAAATCTTTTCACTGATAACTTTTCATACTTTTAATATCTGAGCCATATGAATGTACATGCTCCAAACTTATTTTTTTACATGCTCCAAATTGATTTTTTTTTGAGACAGAGTCTCAAATTGTTCCAAATTGATTTTTTTTTTACATGCTCCAAATTGATTTTTTTTTGAGACAGAGTCTCCCTTTGTTACCCAGGCTAGAGTGAGTGCCCTGGCGTCAGCCTCGCTCACAGCAACCTCAAACTCCTGGGCTCAAGCGATCCTCCTGCCTCAGCCTCCCAGGTAGCTGGGACTACAGGCATGCACCACCATGCCCGGCTAATTTTTTCTATATATATTAGTTGGCCAATTAATTTATTTCTATTTTTAGCAGAGATGGGGTCTCGCTCTTGCTCAGGCTGGTTTTGAACTCCTGACCTTGAGCGAGTCAGGAGCCTGCCTGGGCCTCCCAGAGTGCTAGGATTACAGGTGTGAGCCACCGCGCCGGGCCGGGCCCAAATTGATTTTTTTAAAACAGCATTGTGCTTTCAAAAAGAAAACACTCCTGCTGGCCGCCCAGTCTAAACATCCGAGCAGCACACCCAGCACTGGCACTTCCCTTTCATCAGTTACATACCAACACCTGGGTTCCTACGGGCTGTCCTCGGTCTAAGAAACTCTCTGACCTTCCTCTCCCTACCAATTAACTCCTTCTAGTAACTTCTCAGCTTTTGGGGCCCGCGGCGAGTCGCCTCCTCCAGGCGCACCCCCATCTGCACACAGGTGAGGGCCGGGAAGCGCCTCCGGGGGTCTCTCCGCACCTGCGGCCCGAGTCTCTCCACATCAGAGATCGTGGTCGCCAGCCCGCCCCATGGGGGGGCACGTAAGCACGTGAAAACAGGAAGGCCGGCCCGCAGTTGCCAGGCCGCACCCTCAGCACGCATTGCGCAGCCGCACTCGATAACTAGCGGTTGAGACTCCAACCCCTCATCTGCGCCGCCGCCGGCCGGTACCACCGAGTCGGTCCTCCACCATCCCAGAGAGGCCTCGGAAGTGCCCCAGGACCGACGCGGGTTCTTCCGGCCGGGCCGTCTGCGCTTTTGTCCCGCCGGCGGCCGGGCTCCCGCGGCGCCGCCGGAGCTAATACGTGAGTCCACGGCTGCCCGCGCTCCCGCCCCCGGCCCTTGCCTGTCACGCCCTTCCCTCCTTGGCCGAGTCTGGTCCGCTCCTCCGGCCTCTGGCGGGTCTGGGAGGAAGCGTGCCCGTCCGCACACACGTCCCGGGAGGCGCTTCCGCAGCAGTGGAGGGGAGGGGAGACGGCGGGCGGGCGGCGCCGGGGTGGAGGGCTCGCCCGGGGCTCTGTGCAGGCTCCGACTCCGGCCGGCCGGCCGGGCCAAGGTCCAGAGAAGGGCCGGGCTCCGCTCAGGTGTTCCTCGACCGTTCGCCGCTCTCGGGCGGGGCGAGGGGGCTGAAAACGAGCTCGCTAAACACCCCCCTTTTGTGCTCCCATCGCGGTTAAGGTTGGCCCTGGCACTTGAGAGTGGACACGGGCGTCACAGGGACCCTGGGGGTGACCTGACCGACATTCCGCCCACCCCTTGTTTTGGTGGGGGTCTATAGGAGTTACTTTTTTTTGACTACTGTTCACTATTACTTAAAGGTCCCTGACTTAGTGAACTTGCATTTTATTTTATTTTTTTTTTTTGAGACAGAGTCTCGCTTTGTTACCCAGGCTAGAGTGAGTGCGTGCGTCAGCCTCGCTCACAGCAACCTCAGACTCCTGGCTCGAGCGATCCTCCTGCCTCAGCCTCCCAGTAGCTGGACTACAGCACCGCCACCACCAGCGCGGCCACCACTCCCGGCGTGTTTGTGGGGAGTCTGGCGGTCAGCCCCGCCCCCATGGGGGGACACGTAAGCACGTGAAAACAGGAAGGCCCGCCCGCAGTTGCCAGGCCGCACTCTCAGCACGCCTTGCGCAGCCACTCGAAACTAGCGTGAGAGACTCCAAACCCCTCATCTGCGCCGCCGCCGGCCGGTACCACCGAGTCGGTCTCCACACATCATCTCTCTTTAATAATCCTTTATTGAGCCCTTCTCCCCATATGACATTAAAAGGACACATTGCCCATCTTTTTGTCTCATCTAGAAATTTCAAATAATTTTTCTTAAAATAGTTTAGTTCTCCCCTAACAGAGTAAACAGGTGCTATTAGTTCACCTAACAAGCCAAGAGAATGGTTTTTTTTTGTTTGTTTGTTTGTTTTTTTTTAAACCTTTATGTTGGTGATACCAAGAGAATGTTGAATGCCGCAGCGGAGCCCTCCTCGTGCTGGGGAAGGAAGCACAGGCTTGAGTGTGCTCAGGTATGCAGCTCCATCTGTAAGAATTGGACTGATCATTTTTTAGCTACAACCTGTTTGTGTAACTCAACCTCTGGTGCACTGACTGACTGTTGTCCTCCAAATGGACAGGACTCGTGAGCACTGTTTTCACAAGGCCTGCATTCAGCTCATGGCTTCTTTTTGTTTTGTTTTGTTTTGTTTTGTTTTTTAAGACAGTCTCACTCTGTTGCCCAGGCTAGAGTGCCGTGGAGTCAGCCTAGCTCACAGCAACCTCCAGCTCCTGGGCTCAAGCGATCCTCCTGCCTCAGCTTCTCAAGTAGCTGGGACTACAAGCATGTGCCACCATGCCCGGCTGATTTTTCTATATATTTTTGTTGTCCAATTAATTTCTTTCTATTTCTAGTAGAGGCGGGTGTCTCGCTCTTCCTCAGGCTGGTCTCGAACTCCTGACCTTGAGTGATCCTCCTGCCTTGGCCTCCCAGACTGCTAGGATTATAGGCGTGAGCCACCGCGCCCGGTCAGCTCATGGCTTCTTGACAACGAATTTTCATTCTGCACAGCACAAGACATGGAGCCAGAGTTCCCTGTCCCACCCACTGCTATGCGTCAAGAGAGGATGCTGACCACCTCCTGACTGCAGAGGAATTCTTCTGAGGTGGGAATGCCCAGTGCTGATCTCTTTGGGCAGCACTGTCAGGAATGACTTTCCCTGAGCCCTCCTCTGTCTCCCCAGGCCCAGGGAACCGCACCCACAATTTGAGCTCACCATGCAGCCCCTTTTGCTCTTCTAAGAACATCTTTTCACATGAACAAGCCCAGGTGCCCAGTCTTGCCAGCCTGAGTGTGGACAGTCCCCTTCAAGTCAGTGCCCAAAGCTCACTGGCTCCTGCCTCCACCTACACATGTAGAGCCCTAGCACTTGCACAGGCCCCTCTCCAACGTGGGGCACTTCTGGGAACCCCTGGGGTGTCCTGCATATGCCTGAGCTCTGCCGTGCCTCAGGGCAGACCTGTCCCCTGTGGAAGACGTCCATGCGGGCTGCAGTCAGGTGGCCAGTGCCTCAGCCCATAACGCTCAAGTCGTACCATGGCCCATGGCAAACGGAGTGGGGTGGGTAGTGCTGCTGCACTAGAGAACCCCACACAACACCCCACTGCATTTCCAAGCTGCACAGGAACAGGTCTCGAAGATTTTACTAATGACAAAGCTCCCAGGCTCTCTTCCTTACTGACCTTCCCTGAGCTCAGTGGCAGGTTAAGGAGGAGGAACCTGACCCTTCCTCACCCTTAGTTAGTGGAGGTTGTAGTCCGTTCTCTGTCAGCCAGACTCGGCCGCCCTGCCTCCAAAGAGCCCCATCTCCAGCGGCCCCGGCAGCCCCGGCCGCTGGATGGCGCCTTTTCTCCCTGCTCGCAGCTGCTGCCACTGACAGGCTCTATCTACAAAGCTCTGGCTACCTTTCCCCTCCTTCTGAGACCCTGGAGGGACATTTTCCCAGGAATTCAATGCATGATTTCCCTCACAGAGACAGGACGTGACGACTTCCTCATTTTGTTCTCTCCATCCTGATTTTTATAGCAAAGGGCAGAGCACACGGCATATGTATTAAGGTGGAAGGTGGGTGCAGTCCTTCATGCATGAGCCGGCCTCCTGAGCTCAGCTTCCAGCCCGTGTTTAGGGGCCTTCACACCTGAGACCAAGACACTTTACGGCAGTTGTCATCCTTTGCAGGGGAGTGAGACCATCTGCCATTTCGGACCCTTTCTGCTACCTGCCAGGTACAGGGCTCATTCTCAACACTGTCTGCACCTCTGCTTTCAGAAACGGAAAGCAGAAAGTGATAGTGGGAGGCTTGGGGGAGCATGCGGTGGCTGGCACCTCCTGTTGGCTGAGCCTGGCTGCAGCATGGGGTGTTTCGAGTGTGGCCCAAAGGAGAACCATTTCGGCAGGCCCCACCCGAGGGGGCAGGATCCCGAGGCATCCCTTTGCCCTCTCAGATAAAAAGGATTTCAGGCCTAATTGCGGTTCCTTCCTGAGGCAGTTCATCAGTGGGAGGAAGAAATCCTCCCGTTGGCATATTGAAATCAAACCATCGCAGGCTGGCAGGTAACGCTGGTGTCTGCTGGAGGGAAAGGCACAGCACAAAAAAGCAATCTTTTTTTTTTTTTTTTGAGACAGAGTCTCACTCTGTTGCCTGGCTAGAGTGAGTGCCGTGGCGTCAGCCTCGCTCACAACAACCTCAGACTCCTGGGCTCAAGCGATCCTCCTGCCTCAGCCTCCTCTCGAGTAGCTGGGACTACAGGCATGCGCCACCACGCCCGGCTAATTTTTCTCTATATATTTTTAGTTGTCCAGCTACGTTCTATTTTTAGTAGAGATGGGGTCTCGCTCTTGCTCAGGCTGGTTTCGAACTCCTGACCTTGAGCGATCCTCGCCTCCGCCTCCCAGAGTGCTAGGATTACAGGCCACGGCGCCCCACCCCCTGAAGCTTTTAAAATCCTCCATCCACACCTCGCCAGTGCATCGCTGACAGTGTGGCCAGGGTCTGCAGCCGCAGGGCAAGGAGCTTGACCAAGCCAAGGTCTGCAGAAGGAAAGCCCAGCGGGGTGGAGGGGAGCCAGAGGGGCAGGAGCGAGAAGCCCTCCGCAGCTCCCCTCAGGGCACGTTGTGATGGAATGGGATGCAGTCTGAAAAGGTCAGAAGGTGGAGGGAGAGGGATGAGGTGCTGACTTTTACTTCAAGGGTGCCTAGCCACCTGTGGTTTCTTCCATTTGTCAAGCAAAGTGACTGAGGCTCAGCCAGTTACGAAATCTGCCCGAAATCCTATGAGTAAATGGAAGAGAAATGTGGGGAGGTTTGTATGTGCCCAAAGATTCAAAGGCCACACCCCGCTCTCTGACTGTGAGGTGTTGCCTCGAGGGTCAAAGGGATGTCGAGAGGAGAGGAGAGGGCCTTGGTCAGAGCCGGGGCGGGTCTGCTGGACCACAGGTGGGGAAGGCGTGGCCACATGGGGTGGCTCCGTCACTGTGGCCTTGGAGAGGCGACACAGGCACGGTTACTAGCTGGCCTGTGGGAGACCCCGGCTGAGGTCTCAGCCCTGGAGGAAAGCGTCCCAGGGTGGTGGCGTCGGGGCTGGCAGGCAGACACACAGCACGAGCCCCACGTCCGCAGGAGAGAACTCTGTGTTTGTTCCTCTGCTTTGCGGACCTGATGTCCCAAGCCAAAGGGAAGTGGGAGCAAGGTTGAGCAGCTGGCGCTGGGGCCCGGAGAATGAAAAGGCATCTGGGATCCTTCAGAGGTTTCCCTTTGTTTGGGGAAAGTCACAAACCCAGAGGCCGGGTGCTGAACCCTCACACACTGAACGGCTCCGTTCCTGGCTCCACACAATGAGCAGGCCGGAAGCTGCTTCCTCTGGGACCCGTCCCCTCGAGGCTCTGTGTGCCCAGGCAAGCTCAGCGATGCCACTGATGGTGTCGTCTAGCAAACTTGGAAGCAGCTGTCACATCCGGCCATGGTTTAAAAGAAGCCAGGCACTAAAGCCAGTGAGGAATTTGAGAATCACGCAAAAAATAACTGAGCAGCAAGAGACGTGAGGCCTGGCGGACTGAGTCCCAGCTCCCCGCCCACTCCAGCGTCTCTCTGTTCCTGCCCAGGTGGCCCCACGGCTAACGAGGATGGCAGACTTCCCAGTCTCCCCGGACTCCTTGAAGCCAGCATCTCCGCCCGGCGGTCTCATCTTCCTCACACGCCTCCTACTCTTCCTCCTCCGGCCTGAGGAGCTGTGCTCAGGTAGCCAGGACACGAGCGCCCAGCTCTGTCCACCCTCCTGCCAGGTGGTCCCCAGGGCTGAGGTCTTAGAACATGGTCCCGGGCCGCGCCAGATGCCAAAATGTCCATACGAGAAGGTTCCCATCCTGCCCGAGCCCAGGCAGCCCCACAGTGCTGCTCCCCGACGCACCGCCCCAGCTCCTCTGCACGCCCCAGCACCCGAGGGTCCACAGGCTCAGCAGTGAGCGCGGTGGGCGGGTGCCGGGAGAGTCACCGTTCTGAGTGTGTGCTGAGCCAGTTGGTACGTGTGTCTAGCTGTTAGAGGGCAAGAGAGGCCTCACCGGGTCCTACCATCTCTCACGAAGCAGAGGGTGTAACTATAATGCGATAACGATTCCCGCATCACCTGGGCTGCAGACAGCGATGCCAGGGTGACCGCGCATAGCCCAGGTCCCCACGCAGTCGGTAGTCAGGGAAGGGGACAGGTGTGACACAAACGGCTCCCCAGTTATGTGACCAGGGCTGCCAGAGAACTGACTGCGCCCGGACAGGCCAAGAAGAGCCCTGCAGGATGCACATCTTCCAGGAAGATGACAGAGGGAGGTAAACCGAGGCAGGGTGGACTCAGAGAAGCATCCAGACATCAGTGTGTGTGGAGAGGCAGCTGGGGCAGGAAACGCGTGGACAGGTTATTGGATCTTCACCCTGTGGGCAACACGGGGCCTCAGACAGTGTCAAAGGAAGGCGCCTCCATTTGAATCGCGCACCCTCACTTTTTGCCATGACAATCGCTTGGTCCAGAAACCCGGATGGTCGTCCTTAGAGTGTCTCCCCTTCCTAGTGTGAATGGTTTACTACAGATCCCTGAGCTGCGAAGAGAGGGGATAAAAATGCTTTTATTTGCTGAGAGTTGCTTTTGGCTGTTCTGACTTCTCGTCCTAGAGGAGGTCACGGTGGTGGGCCCAGGGGAGCCCATCCTGGCCCTCGTCGGGGAGGAGGTGGAGTTCCCGTGCCACCTGTCGCCCTACCTGGACGCCCAGCACATGGAGATCCGCTGGTTCCGGAGCCGCACGGCCGACGTGGTCCACCTGTACCGCGAGCGGCAGGAGTTCCCGGGCCGGCAGCTGGCCCAGTTCCGGAACAGGACCAGGCTCATCAAGGAGGGCATCCTGGACGGCAGCGTGGTCCTGCAGCTTCGCAGCGTGGCGCCCTCCGACCAGGGCCTGTTCGGGTGCCGCTTCCTCTCCGGCAACTTCTCCGGGGAAGCGGTCTGGGAGCTGGAGGTGGCAGGTGCGGGGCTGGCCGCCCCCGCCCGGCAGGAGGCAGGGCCGCTGTGCTCCCCAGCAGACAGAATCTCAGAGAAAGGGAGACTGTAACCTTTAAAAACTGTTACAAGCTGCAAGGGATAGGTCCATTAGCAAATGAACAAAAGAAAGAGTTCACAAGAAAACACACAAATGATGCTTAAACATACGAAAAGTTGATTATTTTTACTCATAATGCGAGAAAGGCAAATTAAAGCTACATCGCAATGCAATTCTTTACCTGCCAGACTGACCATTCCAAAGTCCTCCCACACGCCCCTGGTGGAGCCGTGGAGGGCAGGCCCTCGTACGCAGGCTGTTAGAGGAGTTCAAAGCTGGGGGCTCCAGAGCAGGGGTTGGGGCGAGGCCCGAGAGGACCAGGTGTGCGTCTCCTCTGGCTCGGCAAGCTCAGCTCCAGGAATTGGCCCTGAAGGCACGTCCCCCCAACACCTCCAATGTGAAAAAGGCATATCATAAATTTAATTTCTGTAGCATCTTTTTTTTTTTTTTTGAGGCAGAGTCTCATTCTGTTGCCCGGCTAGAGTGCCGTGGCGTCAGCGCTCACAGCAACCTCAACTCCTGGGCTCAAGATCCTCCTGCCTCAGCCCTCCGATAGCTGGACTACAGGCATGCGCACCATGCCGCTATTTTTTTCTATATATTTTTAGTGGCCAATTAATTTCTTTCTATTTTTAGTAGAGACAGGGGTCTCGCTCTTGCTCAGGCTGGTTTCGAACTCCTGACCTTGAGTGATCCTCCCGCCTTGGCCTCCTGGAGTGCTAGGATGACAGGCGTGAGCCACCGCGCCCGGCCTGTAGCATTATTTATAACTGCAAAATAGTGGGAGCCACCTGAATGCTCAAGCATGAGAGCTGAGTATGATCCACCCACCTAAGGGAGTGGAAGCCACTATACAGCTCAGAGAATGGGAGATGCTCTGTGGAGGGGTGTGGAGAGATTTATAGGGTGCATTGTTAAGAGAAAAAAGCAAGATGCAAAGGAGGTTCAATAATACATATGTGTGTGTGTAAGAAAGAAGCCTAAACATTGCAGAAGGAACACAGGAAGCATAAACTAGAAACTAATGGAACTGGCTAACCAAGGTGGGTCGTGATGGAATGGGAAGGATAAAGGCCTGGGGCATTCCTTCCTGGTAGATATTTTTATACAGCGTTGACACTTAAGCCATATTAATGTTTTGCATATTCAAAATATAAAGCCCGGGCGTGGTGGCTCACGCCTGTAATCCTAGCGCTCTGGGAGGCCGAGGCGGGAGGATTGCTCAAGGTCAGGAGTTCGAGACCAGCCTGAGCAAGAGCGAGACCCTTCTCTACTATTAAATAGTAAAGAAATTAATTGGCCAACTAATATATAAGAAAAATGTAGCCGGGCATGGTGGTGCATGCCTGTAGTCCCAGCTACTCAGGAGGCTGAGGCAGGAGGATCGCTTGAGCCCAGGAGATTGAGGTTGCTGTGAGCTAGGCTGATTCCATGGCACTCACTCTAGCCTGAGCAACAAAGTGAGACTCTGTCTCAAAAATAAATAAATAAATAAAAATAAAAATAAAGCTAACCCATGAGGGCGGGGAGATAAAGGAGCACCTAAAACATAGGCACTGGAAATCTGGTGGGATTCAAGAGAGATAGAAGATTCATAATTCTAACGTGTTAGAATTTGTGGTGGGACTAGTCTTCATTCTAAGGGGATTGTCCCTTGGATAATATGACTAAATCCCAGTAGCCCTTTCCCACCAAATGGCCCCCTCATATTTCCAAATGTCCCTCAGGGGTAGTACTGTCCCACATGCCACCACTGATTTAGGCTGTCATTTATAATCTATAGCTGGGGACTTCGAGCCCACACGTGTTAAGAACAGTCGCAGTTTGTGATGCTTTGTGGTAACTACAAATGGTGGACTTCATGCACAATTTCCAAGAAGCCTGATCTTTCCCACTCCTCCCGCCTCTCCCAGGGCTGGGCTCAGACCCTCACATCTTCCTCGAGGGCTTCAAGAAAGGAGGCATTCAGCTGAGGTGCAGCTCCAGTGGCTGGTACCCCAAGCCCAAGGCTCAGTGGAGAGACCACCAGGGACAGTGCCTACCTCCCGAGTCCGAAGCCATCATCCAGGACGCCCAGGGCCTGTTCAGTCTGGAAACATCTGTGGTTGTCCGAGGGGGAGCCCACGGCAACCTGTCCTTATCCATCCTGAATCTCCTCCTGGGCCAGAAGAAGGAGTTGGTGGTCCAGATAGCAGGTCAGTGGCTGCCAAGCACATTCCTCTTCCCAGTCGTCACTCTCTCTGTGTGCATTAGCCCAGCGGCAGTCCATAAAGACACAGCAGTCCTGGACCTGGCCGCGTGAGGGGTGGGCGGGCCTTGACTGAAAAGGGAGCAACTTGGGTATCAGGAGCATGCTAAGAATAAAACTGACAACCCAAACAGGAAGCAGGAAAGACCTCAGAGAGCCAACATTTCTGTGCCAAAGGTCATGCATTAAAACCCAAGAATTCTACTCATTAGGGGTCATCATGAGAGCCCCCAGACCTAATTCCATCCCTCAAACAATATTTATTAGCACCCACGTGTGCCCCAAGTCCCAGCCCTCAGGTTCTTATTCCAGTGGAGAATACAGTAGGGTCAGGGAAGTAGACGTTTAGGCAGTTGAAGGTGAGGTCATTATGTATTATCAAACTCTTACCTTGAGGCATCCACCAAAGGGTTTAGTGTTCATGGTTCTAATTGTATTAAGTTTTGAGGACAAACCCAACTTGTGGACCATTTTTCATATCAGTCCAAATCAATGGTCATATAATTACAATAGAAATAAATGTCACCCTTTGATATAGTCAGGCAGATACAACCCACTGAGTACATGTTCTCGAGATAAACAATAACTTGTCTTCAAGTAGGACTTGACAGCACACAATTTATTCTAAACCTCTCTAGTAATTGGGGTGGCCATCTGTGATGCTAACTGCCTTTATCCAAAGGAAAAACAAAGCATGTGATGGATCTATTGCAAGGATGTAGTTATAACCTGGAGCCAGGCACCTGAGCTAAAATCCTCTGAGACTTGGATTTCCACAAGGTATCTTCTCCTTGATGTTTACATTTCAGAGAACTAGCCTTTAAGAAAAACATTCTTGGGATGCAAAGCCGACATACACAGAACAAGAGCTTACGGGTCTTCTAAAGAAAGTGAGCTAAGGAGGCGTGGTGGCTCACGCCTGTCATCCTAGCACACTGGGAGGCAGAGGCGGGAGGATCGCTCAGCTCAGGAGTTTGAGACCAGCCTGAGAAAGAGCGAGACCCCATCTCTACTTAAAAATAGAAAGAAATAAATTGGCCAACTAACAATATATAGAAAAAATTATCCGGGCGTGGTGGCGCAAGCCTGTAGTCCCAGCTACTCGGGAGGCTGAGGCAGGAGGATCGCTTGAGCCCAGGAGTTTGAGGTTGCTGTGAGCGAGGCTGACGCCACGGCACTCACTCTAGCCCTGGCAACAGAGTGAGACTCTGTCTCAAAAAAAAAAAAAAAATAGCGTGGGGAGGAATGACTGTAAGTGGCAAGCACTTAAAGATGGTAAATTCATGTTATGTACACTTTACCACAATAAAAAAAGAAAAACTATATTTTTAAAAAGATCTCTGAGATAAAAGAACCATTTTTTAAATAATTAGGTTCAACAGACCCAAAATCAGTCTATTAAACTGCCACAAGGGTCACTTTGCATTTTTGCCCCCTCCCTTCACCTTCTGGCCGGGCCAGGCCTGCGGGTAGCTGGGGAGGGAAGCGGCAGGTCAGCGCGCACGCGGCTTCGCGGTGATTCTTGAGTGCGGGGAGAACAGGTGCGGGAGCCCAAGGCTGCAAAGCAGAGAGGAGGAGGCTTCGCGGTGATTCTCAAGTGCGGGGAGAACAGGTGCGGGAGCCCAAGGCTGCAAAGCAGCGAGGAGGCGGCTTCGCGGTGAGTGCGGGGAGAACAGGTGCGGGAGCCCAAGGCTGCAAAGCAGAGAGGAGGCGGCTTCGCGGTGATTCTTGAGTGCGGCGAGAACAGGTGCGGGAGCCCAAGGCTGCAAAGCGGCGAGGAGGCGGCTTCGCGGTGATTCTTGAGTGCGGGGAGAACAGGTGCGGGAGCCCAAGGCTGCAAAGCAGAGAGGAGGAGGCTTTGCGGTGATTCTTGAGTGCGGGGAGAACAGGTGCGGGAGCCCAAGGCTGCAAAGCAGAGAGGAGGAGGAGGAGGAGGCGGAGCAGCCGGCTGAGCGCAGAGCGCAGCAGCTCGCCGTCGGGCCCAGCGAAGCGGCGGATAAGGAGTCCCGCGTCGCCGGGCGAGACGGGAGGGAGTGGGGCGGTTCTGCAAGCAAGAAGAAGGGAGAGAGGTGCGAGGGCGCCTGCCTGCTCCCGGTGCCATCCCCGCGGGCGCTTCCTCGGGCCGGGCCACCTCCGCCAGCGTCCCTCCTCCGCAGCGCGGCGCTCGGGCCGCCCTATTGCGACTCCGCCGTTCTGCAGCAAGCACAGGCGGCCGCCCCAGCGCGGCAGGAGCAGCGGCAGCGCCGCCAGCGTGCCCAGGAAAGCTCTGCGCCAGGGGGACGCTCCGGGCAGAAGCACGTCTGGAAAACGCCCCGCAGGGAGGTGTCTCTGAGAAGGCGCCCGGACCGCGGCAGAAAACCTCCCACCGACCTCTGCGCCGCTGGCGCCTAGGCCCCTGGACCCCGCGACCTTGCGCCGCTGCGCCTAGGCGCGCCGGGCGCCTGGGACCCGCCCGCGGGCGGGACGAGAGCGCGCCGGCGGCTCCCCGCCGCGCGGCAGAACCCAGACCGCAGCCGACCGCCCCACTCCCTCCCGTCTCGCCCGGCGACGCGGGACTCCTTATCCGCCGCTTCGCTGGGGCCCGACGGGGGCTGCTGCGCTCTGCGCTCAGCCGGCTGCTCCCGCCCTTGGGCTCCCGCACCTGTTCTCCCGCACTCGGGAATCACCGCGAAGCCGCCTCCTCTCTGCTTTGCAGCCTTGGGCTCCCGCACCTTGTTCTCGCGCACTCAAGAATCACCGCGGAAGCCGCCTCCCTCGCGCTTTGCCAGCCTTGGGCCCGCAACTGTTTCCCGCACTCAAGAATCACCGCGAAGCCGCCTCCTCGCTGTTTGCAGCCTTGGGCTCGCCGCACCTGTCTCCCCGCACTCAGAATCACCGCGAAGCCGCCTCCTCGCTGCTTTGCAGCCTTGGGCTCCGCACCTGTTCTCCCGCACTCGAGAATCACCGCGAAGCCTCTCCTCGCTGCTTTGCAGCCTTGGGCTCCCGCACCTGTTCTCCCGCACTCAAGAATTCACCGCGAAGCCGCGTGCGCGCTGACCTGCGCTCCCTCCCCAGCTACCGCAGGCCTGGCCCGGCCAGAAGGTGAAGAGAGACGGCAAAAATGCGAAGTGAGACCTTGTGGCATATTAATAGACTGATTTGGGTCTGTTGAACCTAATTATTTTAAAAATGCTTGTTTTATCTCAGAGATCTTTTTAAAAATATAGTTTTTCTTTTTTTATTGTGTCAAAGTGTACTTAACATGATTTACCATCTTTAAGTGCTTGCCACTTACAGTCATTCTCCCACGCTATTTTTTTTTGGAGACAGAGTCTCACTCTGTTGCTAGGGCTAGAGTGAGTGCCATGCATCAGCCTCGCTCACAGCAACCTCAAACTCCTGGGCTCAAGCATTCCTCCTGGCCTCAGCCTCCCGAGTAGCTGGTACAGGTATGCCACCAGCCTGGCTAATTTTTCTATATATTGTTAGTTGGCCAATTAATTCTATTTTAAGTAGAGACAGGTCTCGCTCTTTCTCAGGCTGGTTCAAACTCCTGAGTGAGCGATCCTCCCGCCTCTGCCTCCCAGTGTGCTAGAATGACAGGCGTGAGCCACCATTCCTCCTTAGCTGCTTTTCTTTAGAAGACCCGTAAGCTTTTTGTTCGTGATGTCGGCTTTGCCAACCCAAGAATGTTTTCTTAAAGGCTAGTTCTCTGAATGTAACATCAAGGAGAAGATACGCCGCATGGAATCCAAGTCTCAGAGAGTTTAGCTCAGGTGCCTGGCTCCAGTTATAACTACATCACTTGCAATAG